CGACTAGGACGCCATGTAAAGTCTCTGAGCACATTGTCCTTATCTCTAGAGCAGAGACAATAGAGTGTGGGTTGTCTTTATATCTTAGGCGGCATCAGATAAAAATAAGACATGAAAGTGTTTAGCACAGGGCCTGGCAGGGTATGTCCCAAGCTTTCCATTGGTATTTTGTTGAGATAAAAATATGGAAGAGGAAGATGAAGAAAGAAAGGAGGGGAGGTAGAGCAGGATCAGGGAAGGAATGGGACGCAGCCTGTGATATTCTGTGCTTCTGCCTTGAATGTCCTTCTGAACCTGCTTGTTCCCTGCCTCTGGGCTCTCCTCTGACTTGTAGGGAACTGTGAGCATCTGCGTTCTTTCCTGCCACTGGACCCTGTGCTCTTGGTGGACACCCTGCTGCCCTACCCACCTCCACATCCCCAGCGACTAGCCCTGTGCTTGCCCAGAGGAAGTGCTCTGCTCACACTTAATGAAAGAAGGAAGAAGATGGGGGAGAGAGGAAAAGAGAGATTGAGTGATTGCAGATAGGGAAGACCTGCAAGATGCTGAGGCTGAGCCTCCTGGGCAGTCGGCTCACTGTGGAGCTGCCTCTACAGTAGGACCAGTTTTTCAACACCTGTGACTCACTCAGGCCCACCAGGCATCCTCACTATGTCTCCACAAGCCTCAACTTATAGCCCCAACTGACCCAAAGGTCTTCCTCAGAAAGATGCAAAAGGAGGAAGGTGGTGGGAGGGGTGAGAAAGATTGGGAGAGAAAGTGAAGGGGCAGGACCAGGACATGCTACCCTCTTCCTGCCCCTCACCTCCCTAGCATCCACCAAACCACAACCATGGGCCCAGGCAGAGTAGGAGACTCAGAGGACCCCTGTCTCAAGCAAGTCCAGGCAGGGGACTAGGAGAGGAGGGGAGGAGATGAGGCAGAGTGGGGGGAGAGTGCTGAAGGGACAGAGGTGGTGCCTTAGGGGGGTTGGGCAATTGCTGACCTGTCATTGAGGGGGAGGAGTGGAGGCTGAGATGTGAGGTTGGGGATCCCAAGATGATAACAACTCCTTTTGATTCTTAGGAAGATGCAGAGAGGGCTGCTGAGGGCAAGGCTAGAGCTGTGGATGGTCCCACCAGACTTTTCAGACCATGCACACCGAGATTCTTGGGCACCTAAAATGTCCCACCCTCCGTGGAGGGGGCTTGTACACTTAGGACCCGGTGGTTCCAAAATCTGCTCTCCTCATCTCCACTGCATCCTTTTCCCGGCTTCCCTAGACTTGTGTCCCCCTCAAGTCCTCCTTTCAGTTAATTGGGCCAAGTCCAAGTCATCCCAGCCAGAAACAGCAGAAATTTCTTTCACTCCTACCTGCCTCGCTTTCCCTTGGACAATTCTCTACGCTCAGTTCTACTTGCCCATTTCCCAGGCACTGCCCCATTCAGGCCACCATCATCTTGAACTTGGAGTATTTACAACCTCTTTCTCTTCTTTCTTTGCTTGGCCTCCTCTCCTCAGTCGTCTGGGCTGCAACAAATGACTTAAATGACTTATCTACAATACCACCCTGATCATGTTTCTTCCCAACTAAACACAGCCATACCTCCTTCAGTGTTTACAGAAACAAGTCCCTGGCCTGACTTTGAATGTACTGTATGCTCTGTTCCCAGCCTATGTTTCCAGCCTTCTCCTTCCCACTCTGTCCACATAGCCCGAGCATCAGTCACATGCCAAGCCTTCCTGGCCTGTTGCACCTCCATGCCTTTATTTAGGCCTGGTGCTCTGCCAGGCGTGCAGTCCAGCTCTACCGCCACGTCTGCCTGATCAGTTTCTTCCTGTCCAATGGGAAAAGCTCAGCCAAATGGTCCCATCCTCCCCACGCCTCTGGTGGAGTTCCTTAGCTCAAAGCCTGCCCCCCAGGGCTGGTTCAGAGCACTGATCACCTTGCATGCTAATTAGCGGTCCGTACCTGTCATGTCCCCTCCCTGCGGTCTGAGAGCCCCTAAAGAGTGAGGACTGCTCATTCATCTCAGAACAGGCATCATGAATGGCTGCAGATCAGAACTGCATTGCAATAGGTCAGGCACCCAGTGCCAGCCATGACTGGGGTGCAGTCACCTAATTAAAACGCGTGAGAGACACTCTGTCTGTCCTCGCATCAAATCCGTCCTGGCAGATCCTCCGGGGGCTGAGAAAGCATTAGCATGGGTAAGTACATTACTGTAAGTGACACATCAGAGACTCGTAATTAGGAGATAAACATCTGGAACGCATGCATTTCAGCAGTCACAGTCTGTACAGAGTGCCCGCCGACGAGTCCCAGAGAATGGCTTTCAGGTCACATGGCTGTCTGTCAGCACGGTTATATCACATCTGCACGCTAACCTGAGGGAGTGTGGATGAGTGGGCAGGGAGCTCACGTGTCACCCTGTCCTCACTTAAACCTCAGAGATGCCAGTTCCAGAAAGGTACAGCCACTGACTCGAGAGGAGGCCAAGACGACAAGGGCTGTCCAAACTTGGAGGGGCCTTCTGGGGAAGTAACTTCAGCCGCTGCTCACAGGATGCCAGCAACACCCCACCTCCTCAGCGTCTTTTCTCACTAAGTCCCTGTTTCTCCACGCTCCTGTCATAAAGCACACTGTCTCCGGCAGCATTTTACAGAGTTCTCTCTCCTGTGCAGGCCCATTAGAGGTGATGTGGGGAGCGATTCGAGGATCAGAGAGGGCAGGCAGTGTGGTCAGTGTTACCCAGCAAGAGTGGTGAGTGGCAGAGATGGGATCCACAGCCAGTCCTGTCTGTTTCCAGATCCATTTCTCCTCTTGAATCTGTCTGTCGTGGGTTGAGCAGTGACCACCTCCCAGAAGTTCACGTCGACCCAGAATTTCAGAGTACCTTTTTGGCATAGGGATCTTTGCAGATGCAGTTAAGGCAAGGATCTCAAAGTAAGATTATCCTGCCCTGACCAGTGTGGCTTAGTGGATAGAGCATTGGCCTGCAGCCTGAAGGGTCCCAGGTTTGATTCCAGTCAAGGGCATGTACCTTGGTTGCGGGCACATCCCCAGTGGGGGGGGGGGGGGGTGCAGGAGGCAGCTGATTGATGTTTCTCTCTCATTGATGTTTCTAACTCTCTATCCCTCTCCCTTCCTCTCTGTAAAAAATCAATAAAATATATTTTTTAAAAAAGTAAGATTATCCTGGATGAGGGTGGGCCTGAAAGCCAATGACAGGTGTCCTTATAAGAAACAGGAAAGGAGAAGATGGCCTTGTGAAGAGGGAGGCCGAGAGTGGAGTGATTCGTCTACAAGCCAAGGCCCACCCGGAATTGCCAGTAGACACAGAAATCGGGAGAAGCCTAGAAATGATTCTCCCTCTGAGCCTTGGGAAAGAACAAAACCCTGACAACACCTTGATCTTGGACTTCTGGCCCCTAGAACTGTGAGGGAATATGTTCCTAGTGACTTAAGACACCCAAGCTGGAGTGATTTGTTACAGCATTCCCAGGAAACTAACGCACCGTCTAAGTTACCCTTTCCTGTTAGGTGTATAGACCGTTGTAAACTGCTAACACCAGCAAACCATTAAAAATTACTTTTCATTCCATTCTTGCAAGGAAATAAAATTGCCCCAATGCCTCCTCTAGATTGTTACTAAAGAGGATAAAATTTGGCAGGGAAAATGGGGACGTGACAAGAGTGTAGATGTTCCATTATGTGTCACCAATAAGAAACCACTCTGTCATCATACGTCATCACTAAATAACTCCGTGCGATCAGTAGCATTTGAGCCCCGTTTTATCAATGAAGCAGGCAAGACTACAAAGTAGCCCATAGGGTTGGAACTGTGTGGACCGATGGCAAACCCCACCTCCTGCAGGACCGAGTTGCTCTTTGGACTGTTTCCCAGGCCTGTCCATAGCTGCCCTACACCCAGGAGCCTGGTCCCTGAATTCTCCGAGGCCTCAGCCCTGCTCACCCTGTACCTCACTCCTCTCTCACATTCTCTTCTCATTCTCCTCTATTGTTTGTCTGGGTCTCGGGCAAATCTCCTCTCCTCAGCGTGAGTGCGGTGGAGACCCCAGGCTCCCCCAAGGAGTCTGAGGAGTCCAGTAGCCTCATGTCATTCAATCTAGAGATAGGGTCTGACTAAGGACTGCATAGATGTACACCACTGGCACCATGCAAACGGACCTCAGTTTGCTGTTATGTAAAATGGGGTGAAACAATAATCTTCAACATGGGCTCATGTCCTGACTCTGCTGCCACTTACCACTGAAGTCACTTTTCTCTCCAAGTCTCCCAGGTCCCGCATGGGGTCTGAGCAGCCAGAGGGAGGCTATGGTGCCGGCCACTACGCTGCACTGAAAGAGCAGGCGCCAAGCCACGTGCAGAGGTTAGCGGTTATTTTTCAACAAACCTGATTGTATTTGATTTGGGCTATTTCTTCGGCTGCCACAGTATTTTTGACAGCTCAGCATAAGCACTTGAAAGCAGGGCCCTGGAGCCTGACCATCTGGGCTAACTCCCAGCTCTGTTGTTGACCTGCAGTGTGGTCTCAGGCAGGTAAACTAATCTCCATGTGCCTCAGTTTCCTCATCAGCACCTCTCTCGTGGGACTGTTGTAAGGATTAAATTAGTTAGCACACATATAGTGCTTAAAATAAGAGCTGATACGAGGGGTTATTTAATGAGTATTGGCTTCTTAACATTCCACATTTTTCAACAATACATTTTTATATTCCAGTTGCTTTGCAGTGATAGGAAATGATCCCGACCCGGCCTAGTTGTTCTTCTGTTGACATCAGCTAACATTTAAACTGGAAGTAAGAAAGTGCTCCTGGAAAGTGTAGGCTGGAAACAGTCACCCAACGGGATTCTCCTCATTAGAACTGAAATGCTGGTGAGGTGGCTCGTAGCAACATATCCCCCCTCCCCCCCGCCCTCTCTCCCCCCGAAACTGCTGCAAAGGGCCCTGTGCTTCTCAGCAAGTCCTCCCTTTAGTGAGAGTCAATGTACTGACCTGTAAAATGCGCGCAGGTGCACTTGTGTGCATGCAGGTGCTGTCAGGTGGCAGGAGGGTGGCGAGACCTGTGGTTGGAGCAGACAGTGGTCTCACCCTCAGCACTCGAGGTCTGCCATGCAGCAGACGCCGCTGATTCTCAGTGCCGACAGGCCACCTCCATCACATAGCCTGAAACACGTGGCAGGATAGCCACAGAGACTGTCCAGGTCCAGCCAACATGAGGACAGTGACCAGGCCGTGGGCTTTGGAGTCAGGCCAGGCCAAGAGGGAACAGGTCAGCTCAGATCTGCAGGGCCGGGCATGCTGGTGACCAGCCAGGAAATGGGGAGGGAGATGCTAACTCAAGCCACACCTGGTCAGGACAAAGCAGCTGTGGGCCAAACCACAGAGGTTGCCAGTGTCAACACCTCAGGACAGGCCAAACCCAAGTCACTTTTCCATCAGCCTTTCTCAACCTTCCGAACAACCGTGTACTACAGCCTCAAGTCCCAGGAGTGCCGTGCTATGCAGACTGCACCATTTTTCTTCCCTGGTCCTTCCCATGTGACCTAAGGAAGACCCGTTTCTGAAATTGGCGGAGGACCTGGGCTGGAAAAGTCTCCTGAATTTGCTGGAGACTCTGTCCGTCTATCCTTAGCCTTCTCGCTGTCCTGTATGCTCCCCCGCGCAGGACTCAAAGCTGCAGGGACATCGCCGTCTTAACCATCTCCCTGTGCTCCCTACACTCTTGATTTGGGGTTTGCCAAGCTTTTGATTTCTAGCATCTGCTTCAAGTCCCCCTTGTTTCAGGGACCCACTTAGACAAACACCCAAGGGTGCCTGTCCTAACTCTCAGACTTGCCTCGAAACCCCGCAGGCTGCTCAGATTCCTATGGCAGTGGCCGCCCTGCATGAGAGACTCACCCAGGGACCCTCCACTTTCTCTCCTCCCCCCCCCCCCCGACCCTTAGGAAAGGACTCGAGGATTAAACTGGCCATGTTACTACATTACATGGCAGATATAGGAATGGGGGCTTTGAAAATAGAAAACAGCCATGGAAAAGGTTTGGCTTGAATACCAGTTCAGAACAGCAGAGAAGGCAGCCGGCGGGGCTGGGTTCTACCATCGGCCCATTTTGAGTCCGAAAGAAAGCAGCCCCCACCTCCCCCCGCAGTTCTCGCCTTTGGAAAAGGCAGATTTCAGAACTTGCCAGCCCTCTGCCTCAGCGGGGTCATGATGCGGTTCCTCTTAATACCATGGGGAACTCGAGCCGTCCAGTGCAGCATAAAATAGCCATTCAGCCAGGCTCTGAGTGCTGTTGCATGTTGGGAGGAAGGAGGGAAGTGGTGGGAGGGGGCGTAATTTGTGTGGAGGAATGACAGATGTGGTTGATCCACTTTGGATTTATCTGCCCATCTGGACTTTCAAAAGAAAAGAAAGTGGTGTGGTAACAATTTCATAGCAAAGGCCACAGGCTGCTTAATCTTCAGGGATTTTTTTGAGCTAACTTCTGAAAACGTCGATTTGGCCTATTGGTTTCACGTTAATTGGCTCTGACTAGCTGGCGCTCCGCCAGAGAAATCCCAGCATGTCGTGAGCTGCGGTTGTCAATCCCGCCTTCTCCAGGGCCCAGCGTGGCTGGGTGGCTTCTGCCATGGCACGTGGGCCCTTTTCTAGGAAGCGATTTTGGCCAGACTCAGGGATTCCGAAATGGAAGGAAAGTTGATGATGAGGGAGAAACATTAACCCTCCATGTGCAGTATTCTCCATCCTGGAGACCGAGCCCTTTTCATCGGGAACAGGGCCAAGCTGCTGAGCCTCCGAAGAAATCAGAAGAGAGGGGGCCAGGGATGGGCAGGGAGGAAGAGAGAGAAAGAAAACAGAGGCACAGAGAGAAGAAGTCAGAGAAAGAACAGAGAAGCAGAGAGAAAGAGAAATGAAAAACCAAAAGATACAGAGACAGTGGGTGACAGAGAGAGAGAAACTTCCAGAGACAGAGACACACAGAGAGAATGAAAGAAAGAGAAGCAGAGATGGAGACCCAAGAGAGACAGAGAAAAGTGAAACTGAGGTAGAGACACAGAGAACACAGGAAGACCCCCTCTGAGCGAGGCAGAGAGAGAGGGACAGTGGAGAGACGCAGGGATGGGGATGTGTATTCAGAGGAACAGGGGTGGATGGGAAGAGACTCATCCTGCAGTGAGTAAAGGGGGACCCATTGGGAATGGGCCAGAATGCAGGGGTAAGGGGAGAGAGAATTACAGCAAGGGGCCCGGCAAGTTGAGAAAGAGAGGACAGAGTAAAGAAAACCCCAGCAGTGTCAGCCCCAGAGAAACCCAGGGGGGCTGCGGACAGCCTCGCATGGGGCTGCCCACCCCAGAGCCCAGCTGCTCCCCAGGATGCAGCTCTGGGAGCCCCCAGAAGCGGAGCTGGGCCTCCGTGCAGCGCAGGGCCCAGGGCTGCGGAACCGGTTAGTGTCTGTGGGATGGGACAATGCATTGTGAACGTCTGAAACCAAACAGGAGAACAAAGCGGGGAGGAAAAACCCACAGTCCCATTTTGGAGTCCTGATTTCCTACGTGCAGTTGCTAAGCAGCTTCCCACTGCGTGCGTTCCTCGTGGTCTTGAGAAGTGCAAGGCCTGAGGAAAGCTGGTGTCTGGGAGGTCTGCTGTGTGGCCCCCAAGGTCTCTGGGACGGAGGGGGTGTTCTCCTTGGGGGGCCAGCAGAAGCACAACAATCCTGAGAAACAAAATTAAAAGGGACTAACTTCCGAGCCTTAGTAACCCAATTCCTCCCAACCACCCCCCACACCACAGGGAAAAAATGGTGGCCCTGAAATAGCTCAGGGCTGTACCATCGTCAAAGTCGGGAAGCTGGGTTGCATGGGCCTCTGCTTCCCTGTGATTCAGGAGGTCCCTGGAGCAGCTCCTGCCTCCACAGCCATGCCTGTACCCCAATTATTCCATGACAGAATATCGCCACCCAGTTGTCTCTGTGCCTCAGCCTGGGCCATTCCTCTGCCACAAATCTCACTGTGTCACCCCAGGGCAGAGGCTGCATCCTGCCCATCTCTCCGGGCCGGTGCCGAGCCAGAGAAGGTGCTCAGTTTGTGGTTGCTGAATGACTGAAACCTCCAGCAACATAACATGATAGATTTCCAGCATCTGTCACCTGGCTCAGCTCCATCTTATTACAGACGCGTGAACTCAGAAACAAATTGGGGAAGATGCAGAAGTTCCCAGTTTGTGATCCTTCAGTGTCAGTAAAGGTCTTGGCCATTTATAACCTGAAATTTTACATTGTTTTCAGGTTCATTGTCCGCTCCCTCCTCCATCTTTATCCTGTAAGCTCAGTGGGGATGTGCCATTACTAGTCTGCATGCAGAACTGCCCAGAATGCCAATGGCTGTGACAAGAGCCCCCAGCCTCAGAAAGTAATATTTTCATTCGCTTGGCACTGCCACGTAGGGTTGTCTTGCTTGCGAGCAATAGGTCTACAGTCTAAGTTGAGAAAACCAAACCAAGAAAGGAATGTATTGGAAGAGCATAAGTGACTTCACAGGAATAGTCAGGCCAGGGGTAGGCAAGGTCTGGGGCAGCCCAGAGGACCCCGTTTGCAGGAAGCTGTTCCTGGGCTTCTCAAATCACAGCCTCTCAGTTGAGCTAGGGCCCTCCTTCTTGAGGAATTGTGCTCAGAGCTCCTGGGAGAGTGTCTGAGTGATTTAGACTCAGTCAGGGGTCTCCTCTCAGCCAGGAGAGGGAGGAGCTCTGATTAAAAATCCCACCGAGACCGACGCTCAGTCCCACACAGACAGCACGAACCCCGAGGAGGAGCAGCCGTCGCTGCTGAGCTATCTGGGTGATGTTATGAAAATCAGAGGAAAGGGGCCCTGGGGAGCAATAACTCCCCCCCCTCCCAGCCCTCACCCCGAGAGCCTTGTGTCCTCCGAGAGGGTGAAAGACAGCCTTGCTGTGTAGGCCATTCATATATAGAGTGAGCTATGCCTTCTTTTTAGGTTGTCTGGGAAGGGGGGACGTCAGAGGCCCTAGCCTCTAGGGGAGAAAAGGGAGAGATGGCCATGGGCTCCAGGCTCAGAGTGCGGAGGAATGGGTAGGCAGGAGCAAAGGGCTGCGTGTTCACGATCACCTGAGCCTGGGCAGCAGGCGGGGAAGGCAGAGGACAAAGAGGAAAGCATCGTAGGGGCCCAGCTTTTTCCCTGCTTTGACTGTCTGGAAATCCCGCTTCTGTGTAGGCCAGCATGCTTCCCTGCATCTAACGCCTGTGAGAACAGAGGAGGATAGTTTCAAAAGATAACTTTCCTCGCCCTCCAACCAAATGAGCTTACCCTTTGGCAACAGTTATAAGATTCCAGTAGCTGAGACGGAGCAGGGTGGGCAGGACTGGGTCCTTGAATGTCCCAGTGAACACCCACCGCTCACAGCTCCCCAGACCTCGTCCCCAGCTCCTCCTCATGATGGAATATGATGCAATGCCTTGGTGATTGCATTGCGCTTTCTTTCCATTTATAATACCCCAAAGGCTTAGTAAAAAAAAAAAAAATGTTCTGCATAGAAACACGAATACTACTCCCAATTATAAGTATCGAGTTTGAAAGTTGGCGGATCTTCATTCTGAACACCTGGGCCATTCTGGCGGCTGCCAGTGGCTCAAGGAATGTGCATCTATTTCAGTACAGCCCACACAATAATTAAAAGGACAATTTGTTTCTACAATAAGAATCACAGAATGCAGCCCCAAACCACATAAAAGCCATTTCTGCTCTCGCTGCAGTTTGGTGCTCGCCGGCTGGCCACAGTCTGTCCTGGGAATAGTGGCTGCTTTGTTTAGTGACTTTCGAAGGTAGCAAAGTGGTGGGGAAAATCCCCAGGTCCCGTTCCTTCCCCTGCCCCGTCATTTCCATGGAGCCATTCCGAGCCGAAGTTTCCCATCTGCAAACTGGAAACAAGAATACCCACTATGCCTTTCTCAGAGTTGTCGTGCAGATCAAAATGAAGAAATGTGTGTGAAATTGCTTCCAACAATATAAAGTCTCTGTCCAAATAAACAATCAATTGCTTTGGCTTCTGCGAACAAATACCAGGATTTCTGCGGAAGTGCACACAAAGAGCAGGCAGGGATAGAACCCAAAGGCGCCTTGGGAGGAGGGGGAAGGAACCTTGTTTGGAAAGCACCAGCACAATCGTGGGTTCCCCACTTGAATGCAGCCCTTACGTAGGGGGCGTGTTGGTAAATATTTAGCAACCAGCTCCTCCTTGGAGGGGAAAAAGAGCCTGAGCTGTTGCA